GACTTGATTGGGTTTACACTGGCTGCTGATCTGCCTCAGCTTTCAATGGACGGAGAAAAAAAGAACTGTGTCAGCAGTAAACTGGAGGATAGTTCTTGCTTGTTTCCAAGAACTTGGAATTATGTGGATGGATGACATAACCGTGATCCTTCTCATCACTTGGGGTGTAAGGGTTTGCCAGATTTTAAGCATCATTTGCAATGACCTAGTTTCCCCGCCCAGTTAGTTTAGTAGCTTAGCGATCACGCCAGTGCAGAAATGTGGAATCTGCCAAAATGAAAAAAAGTGCGTGTCACAGCAGTGGAAATGGGCCAGCGGAGGCTTAAGACACATAGAAGGCCGATGCATGTTTAAATCTTTAAATGAAGTGAAATATCAGCATAAAAGTGCTTTTGGGAAAGAAAGCCTCGACACAGTTGTTGCGGTGGTATGAATAGAGGGTGGGACGAGGCAGAGGGGCGAGCTGAGGTTTGAGCGACAGTGCGCGGCCCCCCGAAATGTAGCAGAGAGCTGTATTTTTGCACAGATGAAGGCTGCATGTACATGTGGAGGTTGGGACACAAAATGGGCTGCGGCTGTTTCTGGTGGTCCGCCACATGACAAGTGTAATAGTATGTTTTCATGGGCCTGGGTGCCAGGGTGAGACTAAATATCTCATTTAGGTCACCGGCTATATACGTTTTAAAACCCCCGGTCTACATATACCCCAAACTGGCAACCTAGCTTGCCATAAATGTAGGCTATGTTGTTCTGTATGTCAACACTTCGGATCTGAAGCTGGCCAGTAGCCACTAACAGTGCTAAATAAGCATTTAGCTGCTGCAGTGAAATCATCCCGTCGTGTTGTGTGACATTCTCCTGTCCTCTTCCATCATGAGTTGATCTTTACTTGTTAATTTTAGGCCAAGTGGGAGCCATCATTATGCTTTTGATTTTGACCCCTTTTCTTCTTCAAACAGTCTCTTGAAAGCAGTAGAAAAATGCTTTGAAGCCTTGCTCTGCACAGGGCTAATATTACACCCGTGGACATCAAGTTGTTAGTAATAATTGGTATCGGGTTATTTTATTCCTGCATGTCTGTAATTTGTAAAGATCCGGTGTACCAACTGCACTGTGGTGAAGACAGTTCTCCTCTGATAATAGTAATCCTGTGTGAATCAAGCTTCAGAAACACATTCTTGTTCTTGCTTTTGTTCTTGTGTCAGTATTCTATCATCCCATGCTCATATTCAAGTTTTATAGGAGTTTGAGTCAGTCCTATGTGCACATGTACAGTATGCAAAGACCATCCCTGTGATACAATACACATTCCCATGTTCGACAGCATGCAATCATTAGTTTGAATGAGCCATAAACCTAAGTAAACTAAACATTTTGATACAACTGTAACCTTCTAAGTGTGTTTTTTGTGTACCTAATACTGTTGTGTTCATGTTTAACATTAGCATATAGCTCATGTTGGCTTACATGAGCTTAAATGTATGCTCAGTAGCCAAGTTTATTTATGAAGGATTAGCACGATAAAACAATGTGTGCACTATAAAAGAGTGGAATTTTAATATTTTTCATCTATAACTACACAAGATTTTCCGTCCATTGGTTCTGGCGAGGCTGGAGCTCTGCAGTGGGATGCTGTAGATAAATGTAGAGAAGCACTATGAAAAAGCAGAGAAGAAGTAAAAACTGCTGATGATTAGCTTTGCAAATGTTTTATGGGGGAGGAATGTATTCAACACTTTTATTAGGCCTAAAGGATAAACTGTTTATTTTGATATTTAAATATAACTTAAAAGAAAAGCCCAGAGGGCCCCTTTAATAGCCCTCAAACATGCATGATCATGGGGAGTGACCTCATCTGTCCTTGCCTTTCTATCAGACGGAGAATCTCAGCAAACCAAAGCGCCCTTAAGAGACCACATCAGCAGTCGGAAAGCCCAGGCCATGAGGCAGGCCAAGGATCGCAAGAAGCAGCTGGCCAGGCCGGGACCCTCCAGCAATCTGGACTTCTCCCCGCTGAGCCTGGATAAATCGGAGCCCGAGTTCGTAAGTGAAGCAGAGACTACAGTCAGGCATAGCAGAGGGAAAATCTCTCTCAGCTCAGAGGGGAAATAAACATAAAGAAACAAGTTCTGACAAATCCAAGCCAAGATGCCCCGCAGGGCCACTTTCACACATACAACAAGGTGTGAACACAGTCGAATGCCAAATTACTGAAGTACTCATTAGTGGAGGTATTTCCCGTAATCACAGCATCTGGTTACCTCAAATGTCGCCAGGGAAAACTATTATACTAAAATGTAAAAACAGAAAGAAATAACCACATCCTATTGGTTTAATCTTTTAAATAGTGGTTTAACAAAACTACAGCTGCAAAGATGACTTAAATCTTCCATTTTTAAATCAACCTTCTAATCAACTCTATTTCAATATTCTAGCGGTCCTTAACCTGTATTGCCTTCCTGTCTTGATGTCATTATTGTTGCAGGAATAGACACAAAACACACATTGTGACCATGCACACACTCACTCCTGTGTCTGTGTGTGTAGGGCCCCTGCGGAAGGAGACTGGATAATCTCATTCAGAGCATGAAGGACACTTCTCGGGTGTTGGCTCTCTCTCTGTACATCCCCAACTGTGACAAGAAGGGCTTCTTCAAGCGCAAGCAGGTACGAATAATCTATTAAAGGTCCCCTAGTATACTCTTTTTCAACAATATATTATATGTGTCAGATATATACAGAATATGTCTCTGAAGTGTTTGGCTGAAATACCAACCAGATCATTGTAACATGCCTAAAATCCCTTTATTTCCAAAGTGCTGACTCTGTGTTAACTCCACCCTTGCAGTGTAAGCCGTCTCGTGGTCGGAGAAGGGGGATCTGCTGGTGCGTGGACCGATTTGGCGACAAAATCCCCGGCATCAACTACACCGAGGGAGACCTGCAGTGCAAAGATTTCGGCAGCAGCAGCAGCAACACCAACGAATGAGAGGGAACCTCTTCTTAAACCCACCAATCAAGCTAGCACACGTCATGACGGCCAATCAGGAAAATATGGCACACATGCTTCTAAGTATGGCCAGGTGTGATGGACTGTTTTTATTTGTTTGTTTTTTTGAAAAGCTTCACATGTAGGTCTTAACGCCCCATTGACCGTATATGTTTGATGGTAGCTAACACCTCACCTCTTCATATCCATAGATAATAGAGGACTATATATATTTGTATTATATTGATAATATGTTGTGTAGTGAGTGTATCCTAGAAACTATGAGACAAGACATGTTTTCAATGTGGCTTTAAAAAAAAAAAGGTTGTGGAGACACAATTGAAGAGTTCTCGGTCCAAATTAGCATTACCTTACTAACTGTTACATGTGAATGACAACAGGATGTACAAAGATTGTTATTCCTGACTTTATATCCTGCCGACTAACACTAAACGTACCATCTTTTAGTCTACTTGTGCAGGAAAAAGAGGCAAACTGTTCTGGATTGCTGTCGAAATCCTGTTTTCCTCTCAAAAAACTGTCCATGGAAAGAATCCAATTCAGATGTTGGGTATGCTTATAAATCATTTTCTTTAGAGATGATTACTTTCTTCATGTCAATCAAGCACTCTTAAACAAACATATTGTTCTTTAACAGGTTAGATATTTGGCCGTCCAGACAACTGCGTCCACTGTTTGTAAATGTGTGTACAGATTGTGTCTGTATGTGTGTACCTAATGTGCCATGCCCTTATAGTTCTCAAATACAACAAGAAGCTTCATTTCTCACTTGAGCTACTGTCGGACAAAACGTGGTGCCGAGCATTTCCCTCCGCACACAAATCGTATGCAAAGGCCCCGCGCTGTTTGTGTTTCCGCCTGCAGGTTGTAAGTCTGCTCTCGGTCTTTATCGGTTCCTGTATCCTGTTAAGAGCGAGGTTGCTGAGTTTGTATGGAAATTAAAGTGCCTTCTGCCCTACGCCACTTTGAATTTGTATTTGCGTGTGGTCCGATTGTGTTGTCGAATCAGGGCCAGCACAAAGGAGGTAAACAATTTGAAGTGTGTGTGTGCCGTGTTTGAGTTTTATTTTTAACACAAAAAGAAACGTACAATGACAGGGGACAACATTTTCGTTCTACAGCTCAACATTTGTTTGTTATAATCTTAATGTTCATTTATTGACTCGTATAATCTCAGACATTCCTAATGCCTAATCACTATATTGTGACATAAGGAGAGCGTTGTGTCATCAGCTTATTCTTCCCCACTGTATCATGACTCTAACACTCATGTAAACGCATCACGGTGACACTTTGAACATTTAAGAATCTCAGTTAAAAAAAAAAAAAATGTGAACATTTATGGTGAAATATTTATCAGGCGTGTAATTGATGTACTCGTTTTATTTTTTTGTAATGACAAATCACTATTTAAATAAAGTTCATGTAGTCACAACAAAGCCATGTCAGCAGTTTTGTCTTCAATGTGTGAATTGTTGAGTCAGTGTATTTTGTGACTGCTATCTGTATGACCTTCATACTGCTTAAGACACATAGGTGATACTCCATGAGGGTGTTTCCATCTGCTGTCATGGCGATACTGGTTGCCATGATATAACTCATAGGGGTCTAGCAAACGTGTTTTTTTAATCAAACCCATAGAGGGTATGATTCATTTTGGCTTTATCATCAATAAATGTGATTTCAATTCTAATATCATGCGAATTCCCACTTGATTTTTCTACTGCGGCATTTTCTAAATATGTTTGGGGTGCTAATGGCAAGTTTCAAGTCTTCTTCAACACATCTTTATGTTACAACTCTTGCATTTAGAGTAAAATAGACGACAAAGCAGGTTTAATCACACAAAAAAAGTGAGAAAATGCAGGTGAACAGACTACGAAATGTCTATGTAGGAGTTTTTCTTTTCTTTCCTTTACATAAATACAAATACTACTGCATCGAGTGTGCCAAATTCAAAGTGTGTTAACAAATCAAAACACAAGCAGGCCCAATTTGAATTTATTACCTTTTTAATAGCATCATCTGTTAATAAGGTGTAACAGTAGTCTGCAAGCTAGGACATGAAAACACACCTAAAAACACCAAACATATTGAAGGCTCCTCGTTTTTCAACACATACAGTAAAAAACACTGATAACAGAAGAATCTGAGCAATAATTAGTAAAGCTACCAACACTCTGAACATCTACGAGGAAAAGAGAGTCTTATCTTATCCTACTCGGCAAACTGGATTCTAAGACTTTTTTGATGGTTAATATTTCAAACGTCACTGTCATCAAATGAACTACAGACACACACACACACACACACACACACACACACACACGAAGATAATATATAGCTTACTCAGATGTTTTTAGTTCCCAAGTACTTTACAGTTTTTTTGTTTCATGCCACATTATATCTGGGCCATGTCAGGGGTCTCCAGCTCCAGCTCCAGGTCTCTGAGGTACTGGCTGCAGTTGGGGTCTCCCCTCACAGTGGGGGCTGATGGGATAGTTCGGCCGGTGTGGGGGTTGACGCACCAGCACTCGCCCCTCTGACCGTGGAGGGACATCTTGCACTGAAACACAAAATGCTGTGTTTATTTCTGTGTGTTTTAGTTCCTTTTACATCATTGCAACCCTAAAAAAGCATATGTGTGTGTGTGTATGTGCAGAAATATTGCATCAGGTTAACATAGCCAATGTTTCTTTCTGACATAGTGAAAGATAAAACATTTTAAACCCAATAAAAGTTTTAATGTTTAACTATTTTTAGGTAATTTGTCATCATTGCAACAACCCTTAATGCATGTAAATGTGTTGTTTGTGCAGAAATTGTTACTGCACTTTTTGAGATTCTTTTCTTTATATGTATACAGTTTAAAGTGGACCTATCATGCTATATTTGAATAATATAGTGTAGGACCATACTTATATAAGGCATATTTATACTTTTTCTTTTTCAAAATACCAAACAGATCATGCATTTTAGCCATGCCTCATTTCGCTCAATTTGACAATTTCTAGCTCTGGGCAGATTCAGTGAGAACAGCACCATCTACTGGCCTGGCATATGTACTACAGCGTCTCCAGCGCTTTCGAACGGCAATGGCCGTGGCTGTCTCCTCCTGATTGGTGGAGTTGGCCCAATAGCCGTAGCGCCACCGTCCTGACGTCAGGACAGTGTTCAAATCTGGATCAGTTTTTATCAGATCCGTTGCAGCCCCTTTTTTAGAGATTTGGGTATGGAGGAAAATAGAGAGGGTTGTGTTTTCTGACACTTGGTGAGTTCCCTGGAACACCGGGGACACATATTCATGTATAAAAGACGTACAAAAGTGCATTTTGCATGATAGGTCCCCTTTAAATAGTTAAATCATGGTGAAGATAATGTCTTAAAGAGCAACTTGCAGGTTTTTTTTTTTTTTTACTAGATTTATGCTTAACCTTGCCTGAAAATTACAATTAAAAAAGTGAATGCAGGATTTCATATGTTTTACGAGACATAAGGGCAGGAATTCAGAGGGGAAAGGAGCCGTTTTGAGCTCTGCTACTAAAAACTGCTTTTTTTTAATGTCAAACGCGTCATATTAGGTCACATGGGGGAGCAACTTTCTCGGACTCTTTCTCTGCCCTATTCACGATAGTAGTTTGTAGTTGGTTTGAGCGGTTGTGATTTAGTGAGCTGGTATTTTTTCGGTAATTTAACATTGCATTTCACCATTTTTAATCATGGTGAGCTGGAGTTTGTGCAGGTTGCACAAACTCCAGCCTGTCAGGACATCAAGTCCACAGTTTCCCTAACAGGAAAAGGACCGGAGCTAGCTTTCGTTCCTGGGTGCGTTGTGCGAGGTGCATCCACCCCCCTGCAGCACATACTCTCCACAGCTGAGGCCGATCAAACAAAACGTTTATCAGGAAACCGTATTACATCTCTCTCCCCCCCTTCGCTGCTCTCTCTCTCTCCCCCCTTCGCTCCTCTCTCTCTCCCCTCCGGTACACAGCACCGTAAGACGTAGTGTGGAGTTGCATTAGGTAACGCGAGATACGGCTGATACTTGCGCATTAGTTTCTGTTATGGATCAGTATCAACAGTCCTGCCAGTAACGCTACTATATTATCATTACTACTTTAGTTATAGCCTGATATATGATATCTAACTTTACAATGTTGTGATGTGACCGACGTTAGCTAACATTAACTGTAGCTAACGCCGGTCACTCACCAAGACAGCTGCCCTGTTCTCCACTGATTCTCCTCACACCACAGCTCCATTTCTCTCCGATGGCCGTTATTTCTTCTAATCCTTGGCTGCTCCTGGTCTCTTGGATGCCTAGCAGGCTCATAATTATAAGGTTGTGGTCCGTCATATGCATACGAATATACATTTTCAACCTCTTCTTTGTCAAAACTAGCATTGTGAACCATGTTTATTAATACGTTAGACCGGCCGCTCTCCCTGATGTGACGTCACACGCGGGTGGTCTTTTTTTATGCGGAAGTAAAAATGTCTTACAAAAACGACGCCAGATGTCACTGCAGTGTATATTTATGTATTCCCTTCTACATAAATTAACACTATAATCATTTGTATGATTTAATGTTTATTTTATTTGTAAAATACAACATATTTTTGTCTTAAGGGGTGATAATGATGCTTTACCGACTTTTTTCTCCTCTAAATACTTCCATATTATCCCTCTCCGTTAACAACCCTCTTCCCCATATCGACTCGACTCACCTGTTTGAGGTTATACTGCCCCCTCTTGTCGCAGTTGGGGATGTGCAGGGCGTACAGGTCTTCCAGGGGCCCTCGGTTATCTCTGAAGGGCATCTTAGATATCCTCTCCAGGATCTGGTCCAGCTCCTGCTGACACTGAGTCTTGAAAAGAGCAAAAACACACGTCATGTTTACAGGCCCTTATTGCAGCATATGGGTGTGTTGAAGTCACAAGATTCTGCGGGTAAAAAATGTGGCAAAAAAAATCCTGTTTATTTGTTTGAAAATATGGAAGGTGTTCTTTTGTATTACAAATCTAATTAAAAAAGTGCAAAAATGCCTTCAAATTCGGCAAAACTCTTCATAAATACTGAGTTGTGTTTGCAAGGGAATCGGCAATTTGGACAAGCTACATCAAATAGCTTTTAAAAGGCACACACACATTGACACACACACACACACACACACATAGCTTAAGGGCTTTCTGTAACGAGCAAATTAATCATGTTTTCTTGCCTGTAATGAGTAACAACTCTTGCCAGTGACCTCAGGTTTACCTCACATCTCCACAGAGCCAAATGTCTTGTTGAGACAGTTATACGTTTTCCGGTGCACTAATAACGTTTCAATGATTTTTATGGCATATGGAAAATACCACGATGCAGGTCCACTTGTGAGACCAAGCTCTGTTTCCCGAGGGGGTCAGGTCAGAATCTGCCTTTTTATTAAAGGGCAGTGCATGGTGGGAGTTATGAATGGAAGGAAAATTCACTTTGTGCCATGACTGTTTTTATCCCGTTCAAATATAATTTGGTCTTTACTGTTTTTTCCTTTTTGGGCTTTGAAATTGCACTTTAAATGATCTTCATATGGCAATAAAACACTTTGCACCATGCAAACAACTACAGCTGCTGTACCACAGGGAGGCGACACTGAACTGCTCCACTTCCCTCAGTAAAATGAAGAGTTAATGTAGTGTCTTCCACACTAACAAGACTTAAGGAGACACATTTGAAAAAAAATACTATAGCGTATCTCATTGCATTGTGTTCAAAAATCTTCAGTCTTTTCCAATTTGAACACGTACAAAAATAATGTAGGTGTATTCAGAGTTCCTTTAAGTGTGGTTTTAAGACTTTTAAAGATTGGTTTAATGCAATTTGGAATACAATTTAAGCTCAAATATCTGACCGCTCTCCAGATAGGCACGACATTAATGCAAGAGGCATTATATATACTTGAGATTAAACAATGCAACGTCAGAAAAAGCGATTCATAAAACCTACTTCCTACGTATATTTATTTATTAATATATTCACTGCGTTTAATGATCTGCGGGGACCTTAAACTACCTTTAATTAACTTAAAGTGCACCTATCATGCTATTTTAAGGCATATATTATGGGTCTCAGATATATAGGACTACAAATATATAAAAACATGTCTATGATGTGTTTTGCTCAAAATACAAACAGATCATGCATTTTAGACATCCCTCATATCCCTCTATTCCAGCCCTGTTAGAGAAACGCGGATTTTGGGTCCTTAGCTTGAAAAAAAAGAGGAGGCGGAGCTAATGCCTGATCAGAATTCTACTGGAGATAAAGTTAAATTCTGCTGTCATAAAACGCCATCCTGTTCTAAACCACATCAAGGATTATTTCTGAAACAGTATGGTGCTCATGCTTTTTCTCTTGCGGGTTTATCACAAGGTGAGTTCCTTTTTTTACTTCCTGCTTTTTAAACACATGTGCTCTACAGTACAGGTTAGCTCTGAGTGTTAGCGAGGCTTGCTAATGTAAACAAAGACGAGATTACGTCCAAAACACGTCAGGCATTGTTTCTGATAGCAACTTTCTGTGGGTCCACCGCTGATTTGACGTCATATCGGCAGCAAATCTGTGTCCGCTCGTTGTACCCCCGTTTTTAAAAGATTTGGGTACGGAGGAAAAGAGAAAGGGTTTTATTTTCTGAAGCTGCGTGAGTTCCCAGACACACCGGGGACACATATTTATGTATAAAAGACATACTTTAAGTCAAAGAGTGAAACCAGCCTGTAACTTGACAAAAAACAGTGTGATCTAAATCAGATATTATACAAAAATGTATATAAAAAAGAAAAAGAGTGCCACATTGGAAGGAGTGTGAAAGATACATGTGTGTGTGGTCTCTATTGAGGAAGTTTACTAGGAAGCGTATGTTATTTGGTTGTAGAAGACAGCAAGAAAAAAAAAGAAATAGTAAGAATTAATTGTGGAAGTAATGCTCGAATGGAAAAACTGACATGCGTCATCGGACTACAACAAGCAGACTTTGCAGCTGCAATAGAACACAGTCACAAATTAGTGCCGGATAGAATGCATTTCATTGAATTTAATCATTTAAGTGACTTTCACCCAACATTTCAATAGCTAAATCTGTCTAAAGTGATGTCCCTCACCTGTTTGGGCCGTGCAGGCTTCACCTCCTCCACCTTGTTGGTCTTCATCTTGGTCTTCATCTCCTGTCTGTGCTGGCGTACGGCGCTCTCTTTGGGCCCGAGCCAGGTGGTCTCTTTGCTGGGCTTCCTGATGGCCGGGACCTCACTCACACCCTGCCCAGGCAGCGGCTCCACAGCCTCACCTGCAGCGAGGAGACACAACAGGAACATTATAAAACATCTATAGTAAGGAATATCATAAAAGTTGGCGATGATTTTTCTGTCTTTTGACCACAATTCTTCTAAAGATGATGTTGGGGGGATAGGCTGTGAAGTGTCCAGAGCACTGTTAAAGTGCTCAGAAATGCATCAGCACAATCGATGAGTCATGACAATCCTTTTCTTTTCTCACAGAACGAATCAACCACATGCAGCTCCATTAACAAGCCTGTGGGCTGAGAGAAGTTGGCCACTGTTTGTCACAGTCAGGTTTCCATGGTTGCTTTTTTTCCTAACTGGCGATTTAATTTCATGAGCAGATGTGAAAAGTGGTGATAAATGGACACATTTATTAGGCATTGAAACTTTAAAACTTGTATTTTGAGGTCGTTGCTGGTACATCAAAAATTATGGCAGAAAAATGTTTTAGGGCTAAAAATGTTTTAGGGTAAAAAAAGTGTTGGGACAACCTAAAATACATGATTTCTTAGTTTTAAATGACTTTTTGATTAAATTCAAGCATTTTTCAAAGTGGTTCTGACCAAAAAGACACAGAAACTAAGCAGTGTCCTGAATGCAACATGATTTTTAAAAGAACAAGGCCAGTACACATGATGCACAACAATAGAAAATCCTCACTGTGCAACAATAAATATATAGTTTTAACACAAGGAACGGTAACAAGGAAGTCATATTTAAACATGAAGCAAACGTCCCACTTCCCTTGACAAAGCAAATGCATTGCATGTGTTTTTCCTGTCCCTGAAAATACAAAACAGCAGAGTCTCTGTGGCCGGAGATTCCCCAGGCGGTTCTCATTCAGTTTGACCGTCTCCTCTCTCCTTGGAGTCTTGTTAAACATCAACCCTGAAAAAAAACCCTCTCTTCAAACAGATGGAGCAAACAATGTGAGAGGCCATCAGGTCCAACCCAACATGTTGTTTCTGACAACAGAGCATACTTAGAGGTGGAGCGTTGACAGAGAGGGAGAAGAAAAAGGAGCGTCCTTCCAAAGCAGCGGATTTTAGAGAAAGAAATGTTACATGAAAGCAACATTTCAGCTCTGTGTAGCTAGCAGTACAGGAAAGTATTTGTTTTTACAGATTTTCCAGTTCAGCGTGTATTTCACCTATGCAGGGCTTTATCTGACACCCGAAGGAAAGAAGGGGAAATAAGCACAGACAGTAGAGAAGGTCAAACAGTGGGCCAGTAAGTGGATAGTTATGCAAGGGCCAGGCTGTAATGTGCAGACTCGTTGAAAGGCGTTTGCAGGACAGAGAGTGTGTGTTACCGGTGGTGGTGGACTGGAGAGGCATTCTCTGCACTCTGCAAGAGGTACATTTGACATCCGGTTGTAGAATATGATTACAAAAGGCCTAAGAGAGAACGGGAGAAAGGAAATTCCAAACGAAGCAATAACAAGGTGCTGGCGCCTTTTTGCCATCAGATAGATCTGGTGTTGTTGGACTTCAGCTCCCCTCATGACGCTCCACCGTGCTTTCTCTGGCTCTCCTTTTGAAGTTTCTTTCCCAAAAAAAGGGGCAAAAGTCAACTGAAATCAGGTGTGTGCTCTCGCATGTGTGTGCAGATAAACACACGACACACTCATTGAAAATATTGGCGGATGGGGTGCCTTTTTTGTTTTGCTGTGTTACATAATCCCCACAGAATCCAAGTGCAACACCATCACTCCCTCTCCTCTAAGGACACCGGAGATGAAAACTCACATAGACACACACACGCACAACACAAAAAAAATCTCCATCTTGAATATACACACACACTAACACACAGGGTCAGGACCCCACTTTCAGGGGGCCCTAGGCCTCTGCAGACCGAGCCGTTCCACAGCGGTGGGCTTGGGATCAGCAGTATCAACAGAGCAGCAGGCCTACTGTCCAGTCTACTGCTTGAGTTAATCCTCACACAATGGCCCGAGAGGCTTGCTTTCTATATCTGATCCATGTCGAATTCCAAGATGGCACGTAGGCCAGAAGTGTCATGTCTGATTGTCCAGATTCTGGTCAACTGAGCAAATGGCAGACTTGGCCTCGGGTGGAGAATGGAAAGCATGGAAAGCATTCTCGCTCCATTATTTCCATAGAAACCAAATAGAGCCTTGTTCTTTTGTCAGATTTACAAATGGATGTCATGTCCTTCTTAATTCTCGCCATGTCGCTGAAGGGATGTTGACAGGTTAGCTAGTTGTGGAAAAATCCAAGGGAATTCCTCAGAAAGTTAACATTTTGGTAAACACTTTTGTGGCCTCTCCTTTACATTCACTTGCTAACACACCAAAGTGAGAAGAATCACTTCCCAGCTTGGGAAATCCGACTATCTGATTAAAGACGTTATTTATGTCTTTATTGAATACTTGAAGAAGTTTGTATGACTATGACTGTCTGAGATGAGCTTACCTGAGATCACCTGTGACGATGCCTGTGTATCAAGGATTCTAACTGCATGCAAATCGATTAGTAAAGCGCCAAACTGACTCTGGAACAGAAGGAATATTATTCCCCCCAAAACAAACCATCCCTCTTAATGTCGGAAGGAGGAAATCTGTTTCTCAAAAGGTCTTTTAATGCAGCTCGGACGTGTGAAATAGTTCATTTAAGAAGTGGATGAAAGGCACTGCAAAGAGTAGCTGCAGTCCATCATCCATAGCAAGGCCTGGTGGGGCTATTTTTCTAGAAACACAAATTCAGCAAAGTGCAGATATGTTTACCTTCCAGGCTTTCTGGCCCGCAACAGACATCGAAAAGCAGGCTTTGGACAGGCTCTGGCACGTACGTACACAGCGCGGCATCCAAGGCCATCTTGCTCTCTACCGGCACCGCTGGGTGAACTCTAGGGCGATTGTACGAGCCCTCAACTAGGACATGAACTGAGGCAAGCTGGAACACATCGAGATTGTACAGAATCAAATGCAGATGCCACTGACAGTCAACCACGGAAGGTGAGATATGTGAGTAGACAGAAAACACTAAAAGTCGTGGGGTTGGTTTTAGATAACATCAGCGTGTAGAGGACTGAAGTTAAAAGAGAAGAAGAAACAGATCAGGCCCCAACAGTTCCACTCCGTCCACTGTCAGTATTATTTCGGACAGTGATGGTATTGTCTTGAATCGCTCTTGACCAAAAAGGGTTAGTGGGAAGTTATTCTGGATCTCAATAGGCACGAGGAGATTCTTGGCACGGGTACAAGTGATGTCGACGCCTCGGGAAGATGGCACAAATGCCCCTGTTTGTAGAGAAGCCTGGCATGAGGGGGGGGGGATTATCTCGGAGCTATTTCAGTCCTGCGGGTTCCGTCTGGATGCCCCCGCAGGTACACAGGAATGCCCCCTGTCAGCTAACAATGTTACATCAGTCGCCAGGTGGCATAGGAGTTTTCCACTTTTCTATCCACCCCATTTTTCTCTTCATAACAGATTGTATAACACTATTGATACAAGAACTGATTCTGGTTAAGTTAGGGTCAAATAACCAATTATAGCAACAAAGTATGGGTTTTGTTTAGGCTTTTTAATCAACTGGTTCCCTATAGAGGTCAAATATAATACGGTCCAAGTCAAAGCAACTGAACGCCCATCAAGTACGATTAAAGGGACCTTTATTTGGGTCTTGGTTTCTATGGGAACAGAATATCAGGTGATGCTGCGCATAAACAGAGAGGGAAAGTCGTGGGTGTTCGTTTGGAAAATTCATCTAAGATGGAGTCGTTTTGTTATTAGATAGTCTGATATTGAAATGAAAATAAACGTAGTTATATTATTCAAATCCATCCAAGTTTACCATGAAATATTAAGTTGCTTGGAGAAGAAAATGCTTTTACAGTGTGCAAACGTCTGACAGAGATAATGGAACCAAGATCAGATTGGGAAATATTTCAACATGCATCTCTTCATCTGGTTTTAACACATGTGGATTGCTTTGGTATGAAGCCTTAGAGATGAATACTAATCTATTTGAAGACGCACTTTATTTAATCAGTTCTGTCACCATGTTAAGTCAAAACTTACAAAACAAGCATTTTTATTTTTCTCAAAATCTCAGTGTAGTTGCCTGCAGTGTAACACATGCAGGCAATCACTCGTGCAGCACACACACACAGATCAGAGATGCTGAAGGCCTTAAGGGGGGGGGGGGGGGGGGGGGGTAGATCAGAGCGCACAGGATCTGGTTTTGGTCTTATTTAACCCAACCATGTGCAATTTCGTATTTGCATTTCAGACGTTCTGGAGGGTCCACATGTCTGCGTGATCACATCCAATTTTAAGTCCGAGCACCACAGGAACATCGCGTGATATTTGTTGAATTCAGTCCCTTTTCTCTGAGCAGTGCTTGCATTTTCAATTCATTTCATATCTGGGATCAAATCTTGTAGGTATATCAGTGTTTTTGTAGCTATGTAGACAAGAAAGCAACAGCTATATTAGATTTGAATGGAAGTGTTAATCATTAGCCTCAACAAAACAACAACAAAAACTGAATTTGCATCTTTTTTAAATGTATAATCTCCGATTTCCACCTCTCTTATGTTCCCTATCTTACCTCTTACATAATGATTCCAGGTTGGGGAGAATATTGTCTCTGACCTTTGACTTCTATAGTGGTTTGCAGTGCTGGGGTTTACAGAGATTGTAGGGAGGCTGTGGCTCAGTGGGTAGTGTGCTGGACTTCGAATCAGGGCATAGTTTGAGTCCCACTGCAGTCAGCATGTCGTTGTGTCCCTGGGCAAGACACTTCACCCCAAATTGCTCCTGTGGGGCTTGACCACAGTACTGAATGTATGTAAGTCGCTTTGGATAAAAGCGTCTAACAAAATGACATGTACTGTAATGTAATGTAGTGCTGCTGTCATTTTAAATGTCTATGGATACCCCATTAATTGGCATAACACAAGCACTAAAACCAGGATGCCATGTATGCAGTGGCCTATTAGTATCCAAATAATGCAGCTGCACTATTTCATTAAATACAACCACTTAATCGTTGTATAATCAGCCCATTTTTCTGAGATTAATGCCAGTGGATTTTATCCAGAACGTTCAAGTTTGCTCTGAAAATCCCCCGGCTTCTCCCTTGAGCTGAATTTTATCATAGATTTAATTACTTCCTCTTTTTGCTGTGTATCCGAGAAGAATTTCTGACAGGAAATCAAGTCTGTGTATAGTCTGAAACGGGGCCAAAGTCAACGCAGGAGACTGACAGTAAGCATCCATAACACCAAGAGTATTATATTATATCACATAACATCTAATGGCGTAAAAAAAAGAAGCATTTTTTTAAGCTCATTCTGCGTTATATGACCTCTAGGAGAAAGACCCTTCTGTGAGTCTTCTCTGGTAGATTTGTGTGTCTTTGTGGTCATTTTGTGTGTCTTTGTATTCAGTTAAATCTTTCTGTAGACTTGTTATGTTTCTATGGATTATATTGAGTCTCTTCCTTGTTCGTACTTGTGTGCTTTCTGTGACATATTGTGAGGTGAAGGCCAACACACCGGAAGAAGAAAGTCTTGTGCTATCTTCTGATACAAAAACATTACTCTCTTATCTTTTGCCCTTGAGAAGTTGCTGTACACTTTGACCATGCACTGTAACACAGAAATGACTCTTGCATCCACAGCAAGGCTTTTAATCCATAATTCAGAGAACATTTTGAAGCTTTTACCGGTAATCAAACTGAATCCCAGACCACAGTATTGACACAAACTGTAGAAGAAAAAAATGTGCCTTCTTGTTTCCTTGACATGCTTTGTCCATGCATTTTATTCTCTTCTTTTGCTCTTATGTAACTTCAAAAACCTTGTGAACCTTGCTGAATAAGGTTGCATGAATGTGGGATTAAGTCCGGATGGTGGCTGATTATCAAACCACAAATGTGGCGTGGAGCATTTTTGACCTTTTTAAAGAGTACTGCAGAGTTCTGACCGAAAACAGGGTTATTCTGAACGCCATCTAGTTTCTCTACGTTCCAGGAGTTCAGTGCCAAAACAAACACGTGTCAGTCTGGAGGTAAACTCTGACAAAGCACGGATTAGGAAATGAGTAGAAATCACACTGCCGCTGGCTCCACTGGACACTCATTGACTGTGTGCAGCTTTTTATGAAATCATCCAATTAAATGAGGCTGTTTAGTTTTCTTCTTCACTGCGACCTGTTCTTGTTTAAACACAAACCACATGCTGGCTGCAGGCCGCACGGATCTTCATTGTGATCATCCTGCACATTCATCTTAGATCATTTTCCAGGTAGACAGCCCATTATGTAGTTACTTTAAACACCAGTTTATTGCTATTTCTGGTCAAAGTCCACTTTTCCAATCAATACAGCATTCCTCCTGCTGTCTCCCTCTCCACTCCCCTTTGGAAATGTCAACATCAATACTATGATGTTTTCTGTGTCTATCCAACTCATTCTAAGAACTATGCATGCCACTACCTTGTTCTCTGTTACAGTGCTTTAAAGGCTGATTTGTTCCGACACTGGGAAAGACTGGAGGGCCAGCTGTTCGGAGCATAGTGCATGCACACCAGGAGGATCCTCAACACTATAAACATGTCTATGCAACATTAACAGGAGTGTAAGAAAACCATGCAACAAGCATAACATGAACCATATCTGCAGTAGAAGTTAGGAAATACAGCACTAGCATAGTAAATGATTATGCAACATAATAAAGTGCTCCAACCACAGATTTGTTGTAAGTGTATGGTAAATCCTGAATGCAAATGGTTTAAATTATTAAACAATGCATGTTAAAAGGATGCATTGCAGACTTTAAAGCAAACTATACGTAAAATCATAAAATATATCTTAAAGATATCATGCACTATTGTATAATGGTCACACAGATTGGAGCTTCATGACAATGCAACATTTCTACACTATTCTTCAGGCTGCAGTCTAGACAGTGTCATTAAAAATTGATGGGAGAAAAAGAACAGGATCCAGTAAACTGACTGACCGCTGGTCTGCTCCCGCTGCTCCTGGCTGTAAGTGGCGGTCTCGGGGTCCACTTTGCGCCGGCACTGGCCCTGGCCCTGCACCAGTTGCTCCAAAGGAACCTCCGAGTCGGGCGTCGGGTAGCACCGCAGACCGGTGGCGCACCTCGGAGTGTACACGCCGCACATCTCGGTATCTTGCTGGGCGCACACGGGGCAACACCCGCAGCCCGGTTCGCGCACTATCTCCGCGCAAGTCTCGGTGAGCCTCGGGCACAGAGCCTGGCGCTCCGCGGTGCAGCCCGGGCAGCGGAACACCATCTCGGCCAGGGAAGCACCGGCGAGAGACGCGGAGAGGATCAGCAAGCTGCAGCCCGCGTACGACAGCATTGTTAAAGGCATGAGGGTTTGGGTCATTATCATGGGGCGATGGAAGGCAATCCCAAGTGAAAAAAAAGGGGAAGAAATGTGCATGCGAACAGGTGAAGCCCGGGGCTGCGAGGCTGCTGGGTCCTACAAATTCCCAGGTTTGCTCTAGGGGCCACATGTGGGTGTTAATCTGGGAGCATCGGAAGACGTTTGTTTCAAATGTTATAGTTTGGCTGGCATTTTTGCACAAGTATATTTTCTTATGTTATACTACTATAATTGTCTAAAATGGCTCAGAATGAGAGCATAAGTCATGTAAGTCAAAGATAATTCATACAATTAAAGTGTTGAGAATACAACTGCATGATTAGATGAAATTACAAGCCTCAACTGTTAATTACTTTTTGCAACTTCCTCTAATAGGGATACAGTGAAAAAACAAATATTGAGGACGGAAACACATGTGTGTAAAGAGAAATATACATATATACCTATATACATTAATATATCAATGAGGTTCGGAAAAACATGCTTTATATTTACTCTCTTGGGTCCTCTTTAGCTGACCCCTGACCTCTTTATGGCAATAACAAAGTGATTTAAAGGCAATTATCAATAAAACAGTTTTGCTTAATAGAAGATGTGAAACTTGAGCTGGTGCTCCAGTTTCAAAAGCAAGGCAGTAAATCACAGCTCCCTGGCAGTAAGACTCTGCATCACTTTACATAATACTGTGCCGGTTTGTTTCAATCAGCACCGTCTGCCCAAAACTCCCAGAATGCATAAATAAATAAACAAACAAACAAACAAAAGTTCTATGTGCCATGCATTCCTCACGTGGAAAGACCTCCCCACCCACCAAATGTCCATTGACACTCAATTAAAAGTTGCCAGCTGCAAACAAAACGTACATGCCTGTGTACAGTAATGCCACTGTGCACGTATTCAGAAGTGTTTCCTATCGATCAGCGAGGGCCAAGCCTTGAGGTGTCGTGTCTGCCCACGGAACAGGCCCCTATTAACCCTGTCCAGTGCGGTTCACTAATCGCTGTTTATCCAAGAGCCCAGAAATAGAAGTGTAACCTTACTCCAACTAAATTCAGATTATTTCGTTTTGTGGGTGCCCCCTGATTTGATGCTATTTGGCCCTATTCACAATTGGGCATCCTGAGGGAGAAAGGGCACATTTGAAGCTGTCTAATATCTCAAGGGTGGGAGTCAGGACGCCCAGAAGGCTGTTTGCTCATAGAACCTCATATGTCACTTTATGAAACCATGGCTGGAAAAGCAGCAGGATAGCGGCTAGCTAATAGGCCGAATGGGCCGCAGTATCTGCCCATGTGTGCAAAGTAATCCCCACCAAGGTCAGTTACTTAAATTCCTCCCTGTGGAACTGCTAAGCAAACACAAACTCTGGATAAACTCTACATTGATAGAGGAGGGTATGGGATTACAGATGGGCTGAGGACACATACAGTACATGTGCCTCAATGGGTACACAGAGACTGGTTTGTATGGCAGATGTCATCTCCTACAGTGAGTCCCAAAGTTCTGCCCAGCCTTTCAGCCATTTCAGCTCATGTGATGAGTTATAGTTGGTGATTAAGACATTATTAAACACTTAAAATGTGTTTACAACTGAAGTGGCGTATAAATAATCTATTAGTTGCTCATGTAAATAATAAAAAGTAGGGTTACAGCTGTTATTTCTTTAGTTTATCAATCATTTTAAAAGCTTTTTCGTGATGTATGACATGTTTCCAAAAGAAATGTGAGCACATCTCTGGTAAACAAAAGATAAATCATATTTTTCAATACAAACTTTAGCATGATGTCTTTAATTGAGTACACCCCTAATAAAAAGGGGGTTGTTGATATAAAGCGTGTTCATATTACAAGCCATATACAGCATGAATGTATAAGGAACTTCACCAAGTTGAAAAACGTTTGCCAACACAAATAACTCCTCAGAATAGGCCAAATACTAGAATCCTGATGATTTGGTGACATAAATTACTAGGCAATTCAAGTTTGTAAGATAACATTACATTACATCTGACTTTGAGTGTTATTTTGACAATCAGCGATAAAAATCCAGCATTGTTTCATCCTTAGACGTTCTCTAAAACATAGTTTACCTTATGTAATAAAGCTTAAGCAAATAATTTCACAACAGTCTCTAAATCTAAAATGCATATTCCCAAAACAAACACAGTTAGGTTTAGTTTTACTGTAATGTTGGCTCTTATCAACTGAAACAGGCCCCTAAAGACATCCTCATGTTCATTTTTCAGCCTCTGATAATGAATGAGTGCGCTGTTTAGTGTTTGGCTTTGATTACACTTAATTAAGGCTCCCTTTGCTTGGACTACTGATGAGATAAGTACAGGCAATGAGTACGGGGGTTGGAAAAGTAATTCATCATCTGATTAGTGGGAACGCAAGAAATGAAGTCACACTTACATAAACTAAACAGCTGGTTATGTGTTTATGCTAAATGTAAATGTTCCTTGTTGTGCATCTGAACTGCAAAGGAAAGAGTCCATACGGGTAAGGAAACTAGCTTTCATGCATGCACAGTTAACAAACGGGTGCAATGTGCAACATCTCACTGAATGGAAATGTTTACCAAATTGCAGTACATAAATCCTTACATGGAAATGTTGGCATCACAAGTCCCAAGTGGAAAAATGCTTATGTGTGTGTGTTTTTGTATGTGAATGTCCAAGTGTTAGTGTGTTTGTTTGCTGCTTAGCAACAAAGTGATGCAGGAGCAAATTAGGAAAGTTTTTGCTTTATTTGCTCATACAAATCTTTGTGAAGAATCTGCCACAGCGTTACGTACTCCCCAAAGAGACAAAATAAAGACCTGCTAAAAAGTGCTCTGTGAATGTGTTAAGTTAATGCGTTGCTTTACAGTCCAGAAGTTCAAGCCTCAGCCTGGTTATATGCTGATGTCAGTATTACACTATTCACTGACATAACTGTTTTTCCTCTAACAAAGTTTCTACCTTCTAACTAAAAGCATTTCACCAGGAAACAGACTTTTTACAAACAGACCATGTCTCCTTTATTCAAAAACCACTACACTTTATTGCCATGTAAAGTAAAGCATTAGTAACACTCACTTTATTTGGCCAACCAGCTACCCATCTCCATTTTTCATTGGTGCCATGACTCGGATATGGTTTGACCAACAGCTGCCAACATACAGATGTGGTATGAGACTCAAGTTGGTACATTTGACAGATGGCATTAATAGAAACCTCAGAAACCACAAAGCGCGTGCCTAACTACCTGGGACTTAAAAACTGAGAGGCACAACAGATCCTAACCCAATTTTAGTCAATACGTTCAAGATTTGAAATGCTGTTTCTGGCTTTATGGTTAAAAGAAAGACCTAATTTGCAACAAAATGCTGTTTTTTGTTGTTGCTATGCATGGTGCAGCAGCTTGCTTTTCTAATGAATGGTTGGATGGATTCAGTGTCTTTGCTGGCCATAGTGAGCACTTAAATGGACTTTTTTATTGGCAAAAATCATGTCTGCATGCTTTGTAAATTCTGGGTTACTCGCTAAAGGGCGACACCCAGTGGCCACCTGCAGTAAGTGTTCAAATGCAGCACAATTAACAAAAAAGTGCAAAAGCAGCACAAAAATGAACTATTTGTATGTCATTTTAAGATAAAGCTAATTTTTAATGTAGTTATCTCATGTGTATATTAAAACCATACATTTTATAAGATGTGACAGCATTTGTCAAGCAGTTAAAGCGGAAAAACACTGAAAACAGGCGTTTTTGAGTTTACATTGGATAGTTTCTACTTTAATGTCTTCCAAGCAGTGGGTAATGAAGCTCTTATCCTAAGCACCAATATTAATAATAATAATATTTTTTTGACAGTTGACATCTAGGGAGGGGAGTGGTTGCGACTTTTTGACTGACTATCAGTATTTTGTTACCTCGTGGCCACCGTAGAAGTGTTAGAACTGAATCATGTGACGAAAGGATGTCAACATTACCGTCCACTGCTCAGTGCTCTGTGACACCCAAAAAATACCACTGAGACGTTGTTTTTCCTCTAGTTCAACAATGAAGACGATTTAGTTCTGCCTACTCGAAGTAAAACTATATGTTAGCTATCCATTGTTTGGCTGTCACTGCACAGGTATGCCGTTTTTTGCCAGTTAACGACGGTTAGCTGAGCTAATGTTAGCTGTTTATAATGCTAACGCTAAACAACCATGCTAAAATGCATTGACATGTACACAAATGTATTAATTAGCACGCTGAAAATGTTTGTTATCAGCTGCTAAAGAAGGAAATGTTCTTTATTTATGTATATTATATTGTGCTAACATAATGCCTTGTTTCAGGATGGCTGCACCTCACAGTGGACAGTCCTCCCTTGTACACAGCTTGGCCACACTCCTCCGAAATGATGGTAAATGACACTCTTATTCACATACACTCACTTTACCCTATGTGTACATAAATACCAAAATACTTTGGTCGACAAAAAGGTCGTGTCAGTGAATTAGGGCTGAAGTTCCACCTGCACAATGCAACCAAAACAAGAGCTGGGTGTATTCATTCAGACAGGAACCTATTAAAACAAAGCATGATATTTAAGTCGTTCTTCGTAATTCTGAAAATCTGATGTTGCTGACATGCTTTGGTCCTGCTTTGACATTGCTTAGAAACAACACAACAAATGACATTATTATAACAATATGCAAACTATGTGATAAATCTGTTTGATTGTCAGAGAAGATATACCATAGGTATTTTTGCATAGTCAACCCTCATTTAATGTAATTAATTCAATAGTGGTTGAAGCCTTTTTGTCAAACTCAAGTTTCAAAAGTTATATTTCCATTTCTTTATTATTATATAGAATTTCTTCATGTCTTCTTTAACAGTTGTTGCAATTTGCTGCAGATTAAAGTGTACTATTAGATTCTCCAGAGGTAACTGAGTTGTCTCTCCTCACCTCCAGGAGCCTCGGTGCTGGACGGCAGCTCCACGCTCACCCTGCAGGCGGCCAGCTTGCAGCAGCTCACTCGGCTCTTTGAGCAGTACTTGCTGTCCAGGAGCCAGCAGCATGGCTTCCTGGCGCTGCCCTCCCACCCTGCGGACACT